CTGCTGGCACCTTCCCAGGCCGGCTGCTCCTCTTGGGATGGAGCTTCCCAGTTCCTGCCATCAGTGACCTTTTTTAGCAATAGTTTCTTGTAAAACTCTGTGGCGTAGAGCTGGCACTTGCACCGCGCTGGGCAGAAGAGAAGGGGATGGCGAGCGTGACCACCGTCCTCGCAGCGGGATCCAGCCCCCCTCCTTCCCCCCTTGCACCCCACCAGCCCCACTCCGGGGAATGGGATGAAGGCCGGGACAGACGCCTGCACCGTGCCAAGCATCCCGCTCCCACCAGCGACCCCGGAATGGTCTCCTCAAAACCCATGGTGCTCTGTCTGGGGGAGAGGGGCCAATTCAACACCTGGAAATGACGTGGTTTCGTTCCGGTGTTGGACAGGCAGCTCTGCCTGCCCGGGTGCCTGCGCCAGCCTTTGTGCTGATCGCGGGGCCGTTGTCCGCAGTGGGAAGGTAAAATTAACGGGGAATTAAACATGAGGCATCATTAAAGCACGATGTTGTGTGGAAAGAAAAACTGGAGTGAGCGGGATGCTGAGAAAGGGAAATAATTATCCCATAGGAAAATGCAGACCCACAAAAGGTCATGTTTGTTATGAACTGCCACCAGTTTTTAATCCATCCCATAAATTACTCACTTCAGATGTTTCCATGCAGAGACAAATCTCTCCAGACACCCTGACACAAGAGGAAAGTTGTTTTTACCCAATGGCCTGGGTCAGGTTTGATTTCAGGAGAGGAAATCAAACTTCCAGTGTCCCCCCTCGGATGCTGGGCACATCCTCTGCCCCGTGTTTCCAGCTGAAGGCTCTGCAGCTGATTCCTCCTGTTGCTGCCAAGGGCCACGCGTCCCCCTTGCAACGGGGACTCCGCTGTGCCCCGAACAGGCATCGCCTCTCCCCACATCCCTGGGGCAAGCGGCCGTGAGCAGAACTGGAGGGGTCAAATGAAGGGCCCGAGGGGGGCAACTGCCATCACAGCTGTCACGGAGGGGCTGGTCCTGGGGGGGGCCCCAAGCCGCAGGAGGAAGGGGAGGAAGGTTCTTGCGTGGGGTCTGCACTGGTTGTTCTCAAGGAGACTGCCCTGGGAAGGCAAAAGTCCCTCCCTCAAATCCCAGCGCTGCCCCTGTGAGCCAGGATTAGACAATAAACTGAGGGAGAAAGCATCAAATTTTGCCACTTGAAGGTGGAAGGGGTCTTTTTAGGAGGAAAAGCTGAGCCTGGCTGGGGGCTGCTGCTGCGGAGAAGCTGCTTTATGTGAGCGTGGGTTAAGGCAGGAGCTGCTCCAGAGGCTCCATGAGAAGGGCTGCGGGGCTGTCCCTCCAGGAGCTGCAGGTCTGGGGGAAAATCCTCTCGATTGGGATATAAAGTTAAGGGTGCGTCAAGGAAGGCGTGCAGCTCCTGCACCAAGAGTTCCGGGACTGGGAAATGATTCCACCCAGGGACCCCCCAGGCTGGGGCAGACGGTGGCTGTGGTCGGGGGGACGCGGAGATGCTTTGTCCCACGCCTTGGCCTGGCCACCCTTCGCGGCTGCCAGCGGCGCTGGGGAAGAGAGGCGGTGCCGTGCAGCCTGGGTGGGATGGGGAGCCCCC